TTTTTTTTTTTAAATTTGAATTATTTTCCTCAAAGGTTGTTTCTGAGGAGTTTTTTTGTAGGATTCTTAAGGCTTCGCCTTTGACAAATTCTTTTTTTAACATTTGGAGGGTGACACGAGGTTAAATGTGTATGCAAGAAGCTTTCCGTTTGATTAAAATGTGTCTTTGCATCAAGGATAGATTTTTCCTTGAATCTTGTGCCTTTGTATACAACCGTGTCTAAAAACGCAGTCTCAGTGTCAAATGTTTCGGTTGTGAATTCATTAGTTGGGTAATGTAAGCTTGCTTGTTCAATGAAGGCTTTGATGTCTTGTTTACTCATGTCCCATAGGGAAAAGATATCGTGTATGTGGCATTTCCAAACTGTTGTTCTAAAGACAGTTTTGCTTAGAGTTGTTGTTTCAATATATGTCATGAAAACATTGGCAAAGGAATCAAAACTGCTGTCTTTGTGCCCATTGCAGTTCCATGGTTTTGTAGGTAGTGCTTTCCACTGAAGTGGAAGAAATTTTCTTTGAGGATTAATCTAAGCATTTCGGGCAAGTAATGTGTAGGAATGGGTTGTATTTGTTGAATTTTCATATGCTTTGTGACAGAAAATTTCAATATACCCTCATTTTGCTGTATATTTGTGTCAAGACTCATATTTAAACGTCCATTGAAAGAAGAAATGTTCGGTTTTTCACATTCGTCTTTTCAGTGAAAGGTATGATTTCTGTGATTTTGATATTGGTTGTAGCAGTGTATCAACAAATTTTGTCAAGCACAGAACAAGAGGAAACCGAACATCCATGTTTTAACTAGGGGGTGGGTCATGCAATTTCCAACCTTGCTTTAGGGGTGGGTCAGTCATTTTTGTGCCGAAGGGAGGGGGTGGGTCATGTGTTTTTTATCAACCACATTTCCAAATGCTCCGGCCCACCCCCCCCTATACTTTTTGACCAGTCCCTAAGCAAAGACGACTTTGAGCGATGCACGTCAACCGGAAGTGAGGCCTTCTCTTCTTTTATATGCCTTGACGCTAAAAAATTTGTATTTCTAAGTTTCTTTTCTCTTATAAAGACGATTTTGCCCGGGATTTTGAACCCATCCACTGCCCAATGTTGCAAAAAGCCCACTTCCGGTTGACGTCCGTCGCTCAAAAACGCTGTTGCTTAAGCTCCCTTTTGGAGCCAAGAGTCACGTTTGCGACAAACGGCAAACGTGAATTTGTACCACGTGACCAAGTGTTCGCTGTTTCTTGTTGTGAAATTCTCAACTTGAATCTGACGTTTGC